CACGCGCTTTTTTTCAACGAACGTTGCGGAAACATTTACGTTGCTACGAGATTCACTGTGCTGTTCATTCTTTTGGGAAATTTTTATATCATATTTACTAACTTAGAAATTTAAGTCTTTCTCTTATAATATACCCCCACCCCCACATTACGTAATAACTTGAGTACTATAAATGATTAAGAATGATCACTTTTGTAATTTCGATACGAGTAATATAAAATGATATATTATAAATAAACTCCCATATAATTCGATACTCGTAAAACGTATTACATTTTGTAAATGCAATAATTTCCTAATAAATTTGACTATTTTAATATACAAAATGTAGAAAATAAAATTAGACATAATAATAATCATCAATCTAAACTATTATTTATATTATTCGCATTTTACAAAGATAAATTATATAATACAATTCCGTATTATAAAATAAAATAAAATTTCGCGTACTAACGAGGAAGTCTTTTGGTATACACGAGTGATAAAATAGACAAGTAAATGTTATTAAATTATCCTTTAAACTTGGATTATTTTTAATTCCTTGTTAGACATCTTAAAAGTTAATATTCTTTCGGGGAAAAATTTGAAAACGGAAAACATTATGCTCGATCAAAAGCAAAGTAAAACTCATTTGTATCGTTACTCGCGCATAGTTAATGAACTTAACCGAGTTAGTTCGTTATATATCATGCAACTCATCGGTACTACTCTAGAAGCGTGCAAGAAGGAAACAGGTTGGTTGTAGGATGCGGAGTAATGCGCATGAATTAATCATTAAGGCGATATAAACGCGAAGGGTTAAGGAAGGAGTGTTTAGGGTGAGAGAGATGCTCTTGGTATTCGGAAGTTATTCGCTGATGCTGCATTTACGGTTCGCGCATGCTTCAACACGATACTCAATGTAGTACAAGTCAAACATGTTTAAACACCCGATATATGAAGATTGATCAAAGAGAATACGAAACAGATATTAAAAAGTTTATAAGTTCTATAAACAAAGAAAATTGCATTTCTAATTTCTCAACGATTCTTTTCAAGAAAAAAGAAACAAAGAAAAAGAACAAGTCTAAGAAAATAATGGTGAAATTTATTAGTTATTTTATTCTTAAATATATATGAATATTCAAAAATATTCAATCGTTTTTAAAATGTTTTTCATACATCTTTCACTTACGAGATTAATTTAAACAACTTGTATACATGTATATATTTATATAAATACCTTTTTTTTTCTTTTTTTCAAATTAAATAATAAATCGTTTGTTCGGTAATTACAGAACAAAATATTAATTTGACGATATTCTAATAATAAAGGATAAAATCAATTACATGCGATATACATGCTCGGTATGTTTCAATTTCTATATTGAAAAAAAAGAAAATAGATAAAAACCATGTTTTTAAAAGAACAGACAATTACATACAATAATCCTATTCCTTTCTTTTATCAAAGAAAATGAATTTTATTGACTACTTTTATGGAATATTAGAACCTTCAATTATAAGAAATTACTACTCATTTCGCTTCTCTTTCATTAACACGTACGATAATAAACGCACAAGTACTTTACATTTGAAAAGTGTTCTTTTGAAAAGTAGCAATTAGAAACTATTGAAGTTGGTACACTTAAAGAAGCAATTCGAGTATAGGAATAACTAGATGTTAAGAAAAAAACGAATTAAATGGTCACGCATATATTTCTTACCATTTACTACGATCCAAGTTTAATTGCAAAGTGAGTATTTTGAACGAAAGTAGTGAAAGTGCCTTGTGTAGTCAACATCTCGTGAAAAATGTTAACTCATTCTAAACTTTAGTGATAGAAAATATAATTTTTTTTAAATGAAACTTATTCGGTTACGGTAAAGATAACATTTTATGAAAAGATATGAAAATATAAATAGAGAAAGAAAAAAAGAAAGTGAAAGTGAAATATAACTCATAATAGATCGACAATTAAACGAAATTCTGAAGGTCTAGTTTAGTTACTATGTATGTACGTGTTTGTATGTATGAGATACTTCGATCGATAATTATTACAAGATGTGTTTGTTTATGCAAATATTAGCAAAATATATTAGAAAATATTCGATATACCTTAAATGATTGTTAATAATTCCAAGGAAATGTGTATTGTAGTCTAAAAGCACTGAATATAAGTTTGACGTACTTTCCTCTTCAAAATCCACCGTTAAACTGGCTCGTTGTCCTCTACGAAAGTTACTTTATTGAATGTTGTTTATATTACTTTCCTAAGGCTTCCTATACAGAATACATATAATATTCGAAATAAATAGAATTTATTCCTTTTCAAAGTCACATAAACAAACAAAATTATAATTGATTTTTAAGTACGAACATTGTATGGACTTAATCTGATAAAATTTAATACACACTTTAACTTCTAATAATAATATAATTAATATTTTAAATTTTAAATTAATCGATAAAAAGTAATAAAAACATAAATCAATTTACAAATATTAAAATTGTTTTTTAACTTTATTCCATAAAGCAAGAGTCTAATAATTTGTTCATATTTCGTGGAATTTCGAGGGCTGTAGTTTAACGTTAATCGTTCGTTTAACGATAATCGAGCATCCCGATTGTTTTAGATTCTCATTTTATCCACATTATTCAAATTGTTTGATATAACAAATTAAAACAATTTCTATTTTAATAAGCGTGAAAACTCGTTTTACAATGATATCTCTATCTGTCATATTGGATCCAATTAAAAGCCAAAGACAATTGTGAATCTTACGTTCGGGTAGCACAACCTTTCTAAAGGAAATTTCACGAAACGATCAAATCGAAGGAAACTAAGGTAAACCGCGTTTCGGAACTTTCCATGGTTTCCTTCATTTTACCTTTGATCTAACCAACAAACTTTCTTCGACTCTGAGTATTATTAAAGTATGAAGAGAATAAAGTGAAAGGGAAAGTCAGTAATTCAATCTTATAAGATAATGGTTCTGAAATTCTACTTCGAAATCTCTACTCTGGCCCTTTTACTTCTCTCTTACTTCCATTATCTGTCTCTATTCTCTCTTTGCTTCTCACTTAACATCTATGCAGTAACCATTGAAGCAAAGCAACCGACTGAGTACTCGAGCAGAGCAGTAGTTTCGCGAAACTGGCAAGATGGATGAGTCTGCGGGTCATTCAAATTGGATTAATTTGAGCATGCTGTTAATTTGGCCTATCGCATCAATCTTAAAGGACCTCGTCTACTCTTCCTTATAATCTCTCTCTCTCTCTCACACACACTTACTCATTCAGTCACTCACTCACTTACTCATTCATTCATTCATTCATCCACATTCGCTCACTCGCTATTCGTCTCTTACATAAATAACTTACTCGAATTCGTGACACTCGATGTCGATTCACTTTTCGTCTTTTGCTAAACGAGGATCGATTGATCTTCTACTAATCTATAAATAACTATCGAAGAAAATGTTCTTCGAAAGAGAATGAAAATTCTTAAGGAAACTTTAGAAAATAATCACCATTTATTTCTTTTTTATATTTTTATCAAAGATTTCAAGTAATATCTACTCTATCGAGTTAAGAATTAAAAATTCAATTTTCTTGACTGCGTAATAACTTTAACAAGAAATTCCAGATGTACTTCGTCCTTTGTCTCTGAATAAATGAATATAAGAATTCGTCTTTATTCGGTCATTAAATAACCACTATTCGTTTTATAAAAAGTATTATAAAAAGTCTTGAAAGTTCGTGGCACGAGAAGAGTTTTATCATTTAAAAAATATTTTTGTGAAATTTAATAGCTAAGAAATTTTATCTATTCCAAAATGACAACTTTTAAAGGAGTATTGTCCTTCGAATATTAGCTTTTCCTCTCTCTTTATTTCAACTAAGAAAACGTTTTCTTTGGGTTAGTTAGGTATGTGTCTTATGAAAGGCTTTGAACATAGTAATTTCAAGTTAGCGAAGCTTTGATGCATCTGCGCTTGAATTCTCTTCTCTTCACAAAGAGAGAAAGAGAGAGGAAGGGAAGGAGTGGGGAAAGAGAAATATAGGAGTGTTATCGTTTAGGAAACGTGATAACACACAGTAAAACGACCCACTTTTCCAATATTACCACGGGTAGGTGCGTATTTCAATACTCTTTGATTTCCGAAGTAAACGTGATTTGAACTATATCGAATTTTGTATTGTTGTTGTTATTGTTATTTGAATTTAAAAGTTTACGACCGATATACGGTTTATATTTGTTTTCAAAATAATGAAAATAAAAACGATTATACGTATATATTTCGTGTTTCAAAGTCAAAAATAAATGAAATTTTTTCATTTCTTTTGTGAAAAACATTGCTTAATGTATTTTTAAAAATGTGTTATTGTATTTAACAAAATTCATTTTACCAATATTCATAAATCTGATTCGATATAAATTCGGAAAACGTGTATCACGTTAAAAACATTTCTATTAACAATTGCAAATATGCGTTGTGAGCGTAGATTAAAATTATATTAAAATTATTAATACAACGAACGGAACGAAACGAAACGAAACGTTGGATCCGGAATGATTTCGACGAACTTTCGAAGTTTGGATAAACAAACTAGTATTCTATCTCATATTTGCAAATTTACACGTATCGATCAGATAGTTTCAAAGTATAACAACACGCGAACAAGTATTATTAAAATGAACACGCGCGTACATTCTATAAATAACCAACAAAATAATATCTCGCTTTGCAATTCAAACGTTAAAAAAAATATTTATGGTCAATGGTAACCTTGCTTCGAAAATATATTATAATATAATAATAATCGTAATACATATCGTATCTAGTTCCTTTTATTTTCCTTCCTTTCATTTTTTAATTTGATTTTTTGTTTAATTAGATCAATTTTAATAAAAAAAAATTTATAAAATTATCGTAACGTGAAATAGCCGAATGACCTTATAAGAAATTTGTAACGTGTATACTAATAAAAAAATTTGTTTTAATCGTTTCAGATATTATCTTGCCACGTCCGAGAATAAGACGGAACAACAACATTTGTACAGACTGTCTCTGTCGACGACGAACGCAAAACCTAAATGTCTCAGCTGCGACATCCTCAGAGAATCCGATGGCACCCGTTGTTTGTACAATACTGCCAAGTTCTCCACCGACAATTCATATTACGTGCTAACCTGCGCTGGACCGGGTGTACCAGAAATTTTCATTTATGACAGAGTAAGTATTATTCTTTTATAAATATTTCGTTTTTCTTTCTTCTTTTTCTCTAATTATTACACACTATCGATGTACTATATACCTGTAGATTAAAAATCGCGAATATAAATCCTCATTAAAATAAGTCAAAATAAACAAATTACATATAGTATGATGTTGATTTTGATAAAAAAGAGAGAAAGAAATACTTGTAAGTCGTATACGATTTAAACGATAACGATGTTTCCAATTAAATCGACAAAGTAAAAGATTTTTCATAAATATAAAACTCACGAATATTATACGAGAAATATCCTTTAAGCTTTCTATAGAAAATATACTCTGTTACGAGTTATTAAAGTTTACGTAAGCTAAAAGAAAAAAGAAAAAAGAAAAAAAAGAGATCTCTTCTCGAGGTAGCTTTGGTCAAAGAAAAACACTTTAAAAAGGGCTGGAGAAACAATAGTAGTGATTGACAATTATCGAAGACATTCGAGAAGGTACAAGAGAAAAGTATTCTTTCAGTGAAAAGCATACGACTCGTCGACTCAGTGACGGATCCATCAAACAGAACTGAAAATGGAAGCAGAAGCTTCCTACGGTACTTACGGGTCAAAGAGAAGCTCGTTTACTCCCCGTCAAGCCTACTTTTACCGAGTGGAAATCTTCCAGTCGTACTACCCGTACAACCTCTTCCACCTTTTTCTCTGTCTCTTTCTCTTTCTCTCTCTGTCTATCTCGTTATATGTTTCGCTTATTTCTTCTTTCTTTTTTCTCACTAAGGAAAACTACATTTTCCACTATTTCACGATCAAACTGATTTATGAATTCATGAACTCTATATATATTCCATTAATGATTGAAAATAACATTTCTTTTATCGATTTTTTATTTAATTTAGTAATTTATTAAATTATTGGATTATAACTTACTCGAGCTTTCAATCCTATCATTAATTATATATAACTTTCAATATAATCACAATAATCACTGAATTTAATTCGATCGTATTTCTATAAAAAAAAAAAGAAAGAATTAATTAAAAGAGCAACTGTTTTTATGACAATTTAAAAAACATTGTACAAAATCAACATAAGTACGTCTCTAATTATCTAACAAAAAAATCAACTCTTGTATTAAAACGACAAAAGGATTTAAAACTGAAATAAAACGTTGTAAACGTTTCTTTATCTATTCGTATTTTCCCACAAAATGAATCTCAAGCAATATCGATAATCTCTTAATTCGAACTTCTTAACGTTCATTCCGTGAAATAGGATTCTTAACAAGCAAATGCGTCGACTATTGCCATTATAATCGAATTAACACCTGGTGAATGGATAAGGAGGAAGGAAATAAGGGAAAATAAGAAAATTAGAAAAAGCTTCTAGTACCGGATGAGCCATGAAAGTAAAAGAGAAAGAGAGAAGAAGAAGAAGAAGAGTAGAAACGGGTAAAGGTGTGGGACAATTTTATCGCGATCGAAAGAGACAAAAAGGCACGAAGGCGAAGATCTGACTAGTCTGCATCTTTATCGTTTACTTCAACACGACTGGATAGTGCCGGTAATTAGTTTTCCTCAGACTGCTCCGGTAATTACGTCGGTTGCCTTCCTTTTTCTGTATATGTATATTTGTCAGAATAGGATGATGAATGATAGGATGAGATAAAAAAATATATAAAAAGTAAGAAATGGAGGAAGAAACGAAAAAATAATAATTCTTGTACTACTGTAACTACGAGTTACTCCATTACGCCTTTTTTTTTATTTTGAAATCTTAATCTTAAAATAAGCGAACCATTTTATCGAATAACTCATACACAGTTTCTTTAAAAATGATTTCTTCTTTGATATATCATACTATTTCTTTAAGTTTGTAAAGATAAACGCAGTATAATGTTTCGAGATAAATCAAATTAAGATTGCAAGTTATTTAAAATCTACTGTTATTGAAGTTAGAAAAAGAAGAAGAAGTTGTTTTTTGAAAGATAATGTTTTAAGAACATTAATTGTAGTTTGATTTTTAGATTGTTTGTTTTCCGTTAATAATTCAAAATAAATCAAACTTCCGTCCGTGTTGGTATAGTGCTTAGAAATGTAATTGTTAAAATATGTTTAGTTTAGAAATAGAGAAGTGAAAGGCCAAATCAAATTAAGTGTACTTTTGTAACTGAAAAGATCTGTTGAATACATTTAATTAATATTGGTAAAAAAACAATGATTTAATTATTAGAAAATAATGATTCCATGATGTTCTTGTATAATTGGACCGATCTGGTAAGAAATTTAATTTTGCGTGTTAATGTGTCCGTATTTATAAATCAATTAAAAATTCCTATTACTGTTTTTGTTTCAGAGTGGTAAAAATATAGCTACCTGGGAAGACAACAAAGGCGTTGCAGAATTATTGGCATCAAAGGCTCAGCCGATTGACCATAGGTACAAAATACCCGTTCCTGGTGGTTTTAATGCCAAGGTGAGGCTTCTGATCCCACCCGATGCTGATTTGAGTGGTGCCACCAAGTATCCTATGCTGGTTTACGTGTAAGTTATTCGGTTATTCCAACCCTTTAATACATCCCCATAACCTTACCCTATATCTCCCAATTTAATTATGTTTTATTACTAATTATTTACATTTTGTTTTAATTCTAATCATTTTTTATTTCGATTTATATTCATAATTGAGTTCGCTTACGATCAATCACAGTTAAAAAAAAAATTTCGTATAAAATCAGGAACGTAAAATAATTGAATGACTGAAAAAGAAACGAATATAAGTAACATTGTTTTTTTTTAATTTGAAATGAGTGCATAACTACAAACTAGATACTCAATTAAAGTGAAGTATTACAATTTGAATACGCGAATCTAACAAATTTTTAAACAAATAAATGTTATCAATGTGGAACGTGATTAAAACTCTCTAAATAATTATTACAATATTATATTATAAAATATACATAATATTTAACGGGGGTGATGTAATGATCGAATGATAAAGAATAATAAAAGGAACACACATTCTAAGTGAAAATCGTATGTATCTTTCTACCAAGAGATTATTTTTCTACAAGCAACTCTTTATTCGCAACACTGATAAAAATGTGTTTCGCGTCGCATCTATCTTCGCAAATTTACATATCGCGCGTTCACGTTTATATAACACTACCATAGCCTTGTTGGTTCGGATATATTCCCGTACACAATCGCGAGTGTTTTCAACGAAAGCACTTAACTCTCTCACTCTTTTCTAGCATCGGCGAACTTTTAGCATCGACTTTTTCCTCGATACATACATATCTATACGGTCAATGATAGGTATCTATGGAGGAGTGTGGGGAGAAAAAAAGAAGAAGGGGAAAAGGAAAGAAAGATAAAGATAGAAAAAGAGGAACGAAGAGTACTAAAAGCATCCATATTTTCTTTTCTCCGGCGGGAAATATGACGATGCATCACGAGGAGATCATCAATCGGTTATAGCATAACGTATCTATGTTTCTTACGCACTCAAACCGGATACGGCAGTGATAAACGAAAAAGTACGATTGAACGTTTCGTCTTTTTTGACGTTCGAAGTTTAAAAGAAAAAAGTAAAAAGTAAAGTAAAGTAAAGGAAGGAAAAGTTGAAACTTCTCTGGGTGCAAAATTGCACCTTAGGAATAAAACATTTTACGATGACGTAGGTTCTCCAAATCCACGCGACGAACTCACTTCATTTCTATTTTCTACTCGCGATCTGGCAATAAATTTCTATTTCATGCGTGTCAAGACAAAAAGACACATACGAAAAAAATTCCTAAATCAAGTTAAGTTACCGAACGATATATCGCTGGACAATATTTCTATATTTTGCAAAAGAGTAAATACCTTAAGCAATAGAAAGCGCTCGCTGTGTTGCTTTTTAGAAATATATATATATCGAACGTCGAAAATACGATCGAAGTATAGTAGTCGAATATAAATCGTAATATTCTTTCTCTCTCGTAAAAATAAATCTGATTAAGAAATATAGGAAATGTGGTAATAAACGCAAGAACCATCGTAGAAATATTCCGGATCCCTTCTTACCATCGATACTTCGCGTATTTTTTCCAAAATTTCCATCTAATTTGAAATTTTCTTATCGTATTCTTTCGATCTTCACAAAATGCTTGTGCTCTCACGATAATACACATTTCAAAAACATTCCCATAAACTTTAGCGACGTAACACGACGGTTTGGTAGGAAAGGATATATATATATATAACTAAAAACAGGAAAGATCTTACAGCACGTGAGGTTATGCCATTAAATATGTATAATGAAATGCGCGAGCGAGTTTTCGTGTTTTCGCCACTCGCAGTTCTGAATTTAACCACACATACACTCACACACACATACGAATAACCAACCTACCTTTTCTCGTATATATATATATATACTTACGTATTATACATAAACGCGCGACACGCAAATGGCGAAAGTATAGCTCGCGCTACCTTCGTTGTTTCCAGTGCCGATATAACTTCCGACGTAAATCCTAATAACGCCTAATTTGTAGTCGGACCCGCTAGAACGGAAACCGAACTTTTAAGTATGAAGAGCTTATAGGCGTTATACTCATGACCACCTTCCACCTTCCCCTCCTACTTTCTCCATTATCTACTTCAGCTCGTAAAATGGCAAAAAACCCGTCTTGGACATTAACCGGCTGTAATAAGAAGCCTTTTCTTACTCCTACACTTCCTCGATCGAACCTTCTTCCTCTCTTATACCTTCAAGTTCGTTCAAGCATATCTATTCGTCGTTTCGATCTAAAGTTTTCAACATAGACGTAAGTATACTTCCAGCACGTGTTTCCTATTGTCGAGCAAGCAACCCGATCACGAAATACGATATTTTTCCACGCGAAAAGAGATCAACAGGGTATTCTCCACTCTAGCATCAAGATTTCATTACCAACGAATCTCGATATCGTCTGAATCGGATAAAGGATATTTTTAAAGATGACGATAGCTAACCGAATCAATTTGAATCGACGTAATAATAACAACAAAAATATACATGATAGTATCAGGAAATATAATGAATTTATTTCGAAATTTATTGAAATCGAAGTTAACGATAATATAAGAAAAATAAAAAAAGCAAACAAATAAAAGTTAAGTAGGTATAATCTTCGTCATATTGACAAAAGAATGAATAAATTGATGGCATAGTATCCAATTATTCAATGTTATGCGATTTCCTTTCCTCTTGTTTCCAGATACGGAGGCCCGGACACATATCAAGTGACAGAAAAGTTCAACGTTGACTGGGGCACATATCTCGTGTCAAACAAGAGTATTATATACGCTGCCATCGACGGCAGGGGCTCCGGATTAATGGGCAACAGCATGCTATTCGCAGGATACCGGAACCTTGGTACCGTTGAAATCATTGACCAGATTAATGTAACGAGGTAAGTTTCTTGACAAATATTACGAGAGAAAGAGAGAAAGAGAGAGAGATAGAACATTTCCCGCTATTCGCGTGTTCACGCTTAAACAAGGAAAGTTGGTCCGATATCGTTTCGAATAATCCATGGTAAAAGTAGGTAGAAAACTTTGCTATATGTGGCAATGTAGAATTACACTCGAACGAAATTCAAAATAAATTACTCGTGCATTATGTAACCACTTTCTACGTTTTCTACGTGTAGATGGGTTAAACTGCAGCAGAAGAAGAAGAAGAAGAAGAAGAAAGAACAGCAATAATCTTTTTATGTTTTTATTGTTGTCAGGAAAAAAAACTTTTTCTGTTCTTTTAAAACCTGATCATTTTTCAGCATTCTTCTTTTTTTTCTTTTTTCTATTTTTTTTTCTTTATAGAATTTATAACGTTTAAAAGAGAGGAAGGAAAGGTAACGAAAATTTGAAACAACTAACTTGATTCGCTTGAGAATCGTTAGGGGAAAGTTAGCTCGAAAACTAATTATAGGCTAGTTCGTTTTTTTTCTCGTTACACTCGTTGACCGTATAACTTATTTCGCACCTGGATTGCTAATTCTCTAATCCAACTGCTCGAGATAACTAACTTTTAAGTTCTAATGTCCAATTTCTGTCTCTCTCTCTCTCTCTCTCTCTCTCTCTCTCTCTATCTATCTATCTATCTATCTCTATTTCCATCTCTATCTCTCTTTTGGTTTCGAATGAGTACTTTCAACGAACTTCTCGAAATCTTCTTCTTTTATACATAGAAAACTACAGAGATACGTTCGCAAGAGGAAAATTGCTCTTTAGCTTTATCCGAATTTATAGGCCCACGAGTAGAGCATCTTTTCCCTTCCTTTCGTTCGACCCTCCATCGCTCGCTTCTCGGTACGCTCGTATTTTCCTTTCGCTGTCATGGGTAATTCGTTTCGACGGAAAGGGTCCGAAGAACCGAGGCAAAAGCTATCCCTTTAAGTTATGGCATAGCAAACTTATACGTTTGATAAAGATATCGCAATATTTTATAACTTTTTTTTCTTTCCCAATCTACCAACGTACCTTCCCATAGATAGGAAATTATATATTTTTCGATTATTAATTAGAATCAAATATATATTATATATAAAGAAATCGTAGAGCGTATAGAAATTTAACGATTATCTATCATTCGAATAATGATCATAATCTAGGTATACCAAATTCTTGTTCAATCAAACTCTCGTTAATGATATAATACGAAATCTATTCGATATTAAAACTTATTCGATAATTATATATTCATTACTTACCATCTACATATATGCATTTAATAAGATATAAAATGTTAGAAAGGAATACTAAAATACTTCTATTTCCACAATACTATTCTAATATTATATCGAATCGTTTTTTTTATATATATTTTAACCGTTATAATATATCCTTAAAAATGTATTTAACTAGACGGAGAAATATTATTTCATCTATTATTTCATCTGACGTATGTACATATATCATTCAGTTCCCTTAAAAGATACATATCTTCCAATCAAAAAAAAATTCATGTCTTTTCTAGTAGAAAAACGAAATATTTCGAATCCGTTTGGTTATACGGAAGTGCTGTTTCGCTGGAATCCCCGATTGTCTTTCCTGTAAAGACGACTTCTTCAGAGATTGCTCAAAGCCTTGAGTCTACCAAAGCTCGAATTTCCGTCCAATTGATTCCTACAGGAAATCGACAGATCGTCAAAAGACAACCGGATAGTAAACCACATTGTGTTTCGTAACTTCTACTCTTGGTACTACGTTAAAAGTGAAATCTTCTGAAAAAGGGATGGAGATAGGATAGTAAGAGAGAAAGAAATAAAAACGTTGGTAGTTCAATTTGCTGTACCATTCCTAGACACACAACACACAACACACACACATACACAGACATCATCATACATTCATTTATTTTCATATATACATATGCGTATATGTACCTTTATATGTAGATATATACGTATAGAAAATACGTGCAAGTATATGTAAGGAGATGTTTTGCTGGCGCGTCACATCGCGTCCTCTCTGTAAAAAGCTAGTCGCAAAATTGGAAGCCGTCCAAGCGATTGCGGAATCGTCCGACTCGCTTTAACCTCTGCTGTTCATCCCTCTTCTTCTCTCTTTTTCCCTCCTTCTCCCTATCACTTTTAGCTTTCTAAAACTTTCCTACTTCCAGTGCATTGTCCTCTTTTAGAACCATTTTTACTTATATCTTTTATATATATATATATTCATTCAATCGATTTTTTTTTTGCTTTTTTTTTATTTTGAGTACAAATTTCATTGCCAAAATTGTAAATAATTTGTAGATTATTAAAAGAATTATAATTGTGTGATTGATATATTTTGGTATATATTTGCGGTATTTCTCAATTTCGAAAATTGCTACAACCCACGTAGTTTCACATAATATGATCGTTTGATTTTATCTCTTACGTGAAATAGTTTTAAACGAGTAACTGCTGAGATATCTACCTTGCATTCCCCCCCCCCCTATCTAGCTTTTTTTCTCTTCTATTCGTCTAAAGTTCCATTTCATTTCTAGAAAAGGAGAAATAGAAAGAAAGTAAAAAAATGGCAAGAGCTTTCAAGAGTTATTTACGTATATGATTTATTCAAATTGAATTTTTGATAAAAATTATAAAATATAAAAATATAAGAAATTAATTACAAGAAGAAGAACGTTGATTATTGTAAAACGTTGTTTTCTTTTAATAAAAAAAAGATAAAGTTACTCGAAACATTGTTAACAAAAAAATTCGGCAACATGTTACTACACATACGAAGGAAAGTAGAACATTGATTCACAACAAAAGAAACGTCAATAGTACAACATTGACAATCGAGAAAAGGAAAAACTATGAAAAAAATATAGAAAGGGTACAAAGAATAAGAAACGAAAGCAAAGGAAGCAAATCAACAAAACTATAAAAAGTCGTTTTCTATCAACGCTACTGCATTACTACTACTACTAACTACTACTACTACTACTACTACTACTACTACTACTACTACTACTACTACTACTACTACTATTACTACTACTACTACTACTATTACTATTACTACTACTACTACTACTACTACTACTACGACTACTACTACTACTACTACTACTACTATTGGTGTTACTGTTCTATTTCCGTGACAATTGAATTCTTACGTTCAAAAGGGAGAGAAAGAGAGAACCAAAGATTCGTCAAGTCTTTCAGCTCAATTTACAAAGCGAATAAGTTTCGAAGAAAACGCAATCCACTGTGTTCCTGACTGTATCTCTTGTTACAAAATGAAAGCACAAAAAAATAAATTTAAAAAAAGGAATAGATAGATAGATAGATAGATAGATAGATAGATAGACGAAGAGACGAACGGACAAAAAGGGGATGGTGGCTTGTCCTACGACACATTTCCACATAGGATACAAGGATAGAATGTGGTCCCAGTGGGGCCATTATTATCAGACGCATAAGAAGCAACAAAACAGAATCTTTTGAAAGAATCGAAAATGGGACCTGGGATAAGGATCTTATTTTTCACCACCCTCTTCTCCAACATCTAGATACGCAAGTATCTTATATATCGATAAAACAAAAAATTAGATCGACCTGATGGATATTATGTTTTGTACAATAAGATAAATATATTTATTAGCCTAATAAATTTGGATAAAAGTTTAATTATTTTCTTTCGATTGAACGAATATGAAAAATAAAAGTGAATTAATTGATTGTAATTAAGAGTCTATAATAGTATAAATTAATAAATCATTTTAATTTTCAAGTAGTATTATAGACCATGACATTGTCAGCGTTGTAATAAGATATCACGTTAGTCCGAAGGGATTTCACAACCATGTGCTTGCAACAAAAACTCTCAAGCCACTTATCTTGTCTTGTAAGGAAGACAATCGTGTTACCTGAGCATGCACACCAAGAGCTTGGATATTTCTATGCTATGAGAGGATTAAGAAGAAGGAAGGATAAAAAAGATGAAGAAGAAAAGAAAGGAAAAGAAAGGAAAAGAAAGAGAAAGAGAGGTGAAAGGAGAAAAAAAGAAGGGGTGGTTAAAGTCAGTCTTGATCTTTATCGCGTTCTAGTCGAACATCCTGAGAAACGCTTCTCTCAGAGAAGAACAGGGTTTTCCTTTTACAAGCTACGTTACTTTAGCGCGTTATTTTCAAATAAAAAAAAATAGGGGAAAAAATAAGAAAAAATAAGAAAGGGTAATTTCATACTTGCTCTTACAGAATCGCTACCACTTCCGGCCGAGGAAGTTGAAGAGTGCATTAAAAATTTGCCTTAAGGATTATTTTAAGATCCCTCAACTGAGTTTGACTAAGAAAGGAAAAAAAAGATGAAAAAGATGAGAGAGAGAAAAGAGAAAAAGACCTTTTTTACGTTTTACTCGTCTCATTTCTTTATCCTATACCTTGTATTCCTTCCTTTAAAATTTATCGTTGCTCCACGTTGCGTCTATCTCTGTGTTTCAGGCACCTGCAGAATAAGTTACCCTTCATCGATCGCACTAGAACGGCAATTTGGGGTTGGAGTTATGGAGGTTACGCCACCGGTATGTCACTCGCTATGGATTTCAATGGTGTCTTCAAATGTGGTATGTCTGTGGCTCCTGTCACGGATTGGGCTCTTTATGGTACGTCTTATTTAATACAAACTTTTATTTCAATTTTGACTTATATATCATTTATCTTTTCAATCTTTTCACTTCATTTATTTCTTTTCAACGAACATTCGTTCCAACGTAGTTTCAAATAAAGAATTGCGACGGTTTAATTACGAATAGTGGTACGCGAAATGAAAAAGAAAAAAATAAGTTGGTGAAAAAGAGATCGAGGGTATAAATGACCACGCGTTAATGAACATTAATTACCAACTTTTCGCACAGCGCAAGTTCTATGAATGCGATACATAACATGACGCCGGCGGCCCTCTCTTTGTTATACCGAAACACATTAATCTCTTCTATCATATTAGCTCTACCGAAGGAAATCCTTTAATTAGTAACGCAACTTTAATTACAGATTCAATATACACCGAACGATTCATGGGTCTACCAGTCGGCGCTGATAATCTTCAAGGATACGAAAGGGGTCAATTGTTGAACAAAGTCGACAACATAAAGAATAAAATGTATTATCTAATCCATGGTACTCTCGACGACAACGTACATTATCAACAATCTCTGATGCTAGCAAAAGTTCTCGAACAAAAGGACATTCTTTTTAGACAACAAGTAAAAATCTTGATCATTTTATTAATTCCGCGACGATGATTAACTTTCGATATGTTATTTATTTCAAATTGCATGCGTATAATTTTGATTTATTTTTTTTTCTCCTTAGACGTACACCGACGAGGATCATGGAATTCTACAATCGAGAACGCATCTCTATCATTCATTGGAAAACTTTTTAGACGAATGCTTTCAACCGTCGTCATGATTAAAGCACGGAACTTTACTGACAATCTAGGCACCTTATACACCACTTGCCTCACAGTCCATTTGTAAATAATTTACCACTTGTACATAGTTAATGTACAATAATGTAATATGAGGTTTAGTGTACATAATTTGGGAAGAGAAAAATAAGAAATAAATAAAGAAACTAAAATCGTCGTTGTCGTTATCGTCGTTGTTGACGTTTAAATGATAATGATACCGACAACGATGTAGTTACGAAAGACAGATTTATGAGAAAACGTCTTTGATACATTTTGTAAGAAAGAATAAAAAAAAAGAAATCTGAATTCATTAGTAAAATCGAAGGCCTAAGAAAATCAAAGGCGCGTTGGCGCTTTGATTTTCAGATTCCATAAAGTTTTGAGTGCACGTACATTTATATATTTTATTACCAATTAACAAATCGCTTTTACTCTAAGCGATTCCGATAGAATATTTATCTCCTCTTGTTTTTCTTTTCTCTTTGTACGAGAAACTATGCGCGATTTCTAGTTAGATTTTTAAACAAATATTCGATCGCGCAAACCTATTGAAATTTGGTAAATAATACCTTCTGATAAGAAGTTATTTATACCTTTAAGGTGTAAGATCTCGAAATTTAAAAGAATATTTTTATCCAATTGACTTATATTATATTATACTTATTTTTATTATTATTATTATTATTATTATTATTATTACATATATATATATATATATATAATTAGGAGTTTTAATATTGATATATTACAATTTCTTACTTTTCCAATTGCTACATAAAACTCTGAGAATGGGTCATAATTTTATTCTTTTATCTAATAAAACGTACTATATATTATATGAACTATATTTTAATGAAAATCTTTTGTACTTCAAATTTAAATAAAAAGAATGATTTAATTAAAATTTAAATAAATGTATCATCTAATCGCGCGCACGGCAGGTTTAGTCTGAGAATGATAAATAATAATTATATGTATTTAAATAATTTTTCTTTTACATTATGTATTAATAATATGAAACAAAGTTGACTATATATAAGTCCAATAATAAGAATGCCCTCGCAAGAAATTGCAAATGTAAGTTTTTAAAATACAAAATCAAATTCTTAGAATTTTACTACTCAGAGTTCACATAAAGTTCCTCTATTAGTTTATGAAAACCCTTTTCTTGTGACACAAGATAGCATATCTATTATAAAATATTATTAGAATGTGGGCAATTAAAAGTATGTTAACGTCAAGTGAGATATATAAAGAAGGAGAATTATCGAGGAAAAAATTTATGACTAATAAGATTTTTTAATCAAAGGACCACTACGTCATAACAGTTTTAAAAGTGGATCAAAATGAATTTATTAAGATAATTGTTACCTTTTATGCTGACATACTGTATATATCAAATTACTTAATTACCATTTAATTAAGATATCCATATATTGTTATAACAAAATTGTACTATTGACCCTGTAGAGTTATAAAAATACTTATACCCTCCTCATTCATCATTTGTTGAGTGTATTATAAATAAAGTTCTATGTTTTATTAGAAAATCGTGCAATTGTATTTAAATGAATTAAACTCCCATATTTAAAATTCTTTACTTTAAAAAGGATAAAATCCAAAACATACTCAAATCATGAATTTTCTGTTTCTTTGAATCTGTAAAGTAAAATTAAATTTGTTATACACCAATCTACGCAATTAAATTTTGTAAATCTAATAACTAAAATAATAACTAAATCTAATAATAAATTGTGCACTTATTACATAGTACATACTTGCACTTAGTACATGTGTAAAACACAGTTTGTCCTTCATCAGCTGATCTTAATTGCAATGTAGCATATGACATTTTTTCATTTCCACACTGCGGACATAGACGTTCAACTACTGGACCATCACCATTTTGGTCGTTCTCATCGGTTTCTTTTAAACGAGTGTAAGCATTCTTTGATTGAAAATGAATAGTATAAGACATAGCCATATTACCGTACACTGAAAGTAATTTAAATTTACTTACTAGACTAAAATAAAAATTATGCGGTGTAACAGCGAAGAATGGAAATTAATATTTTTAGTTTAATGTAAAGCTTTTAAAGAGATTTTCTCTTTACATTCAAACTACATGTATTTCATTTAAGTATTCAATCTGTAGTTAATAATAATCAATTATTATTAATTATCCATAAGATAAGATAACTTAATCTGTCTTTATGAATTGTAAAAGAATTATCAAAAGAGAGAAAAAATCAAGTTAACCTAATTATTTGCACAAGAGAATTAAAATTTTTCACTAAACTTTTGCACGTGCGCACTACTACTAAGCATAAAACGAAATATGTAAATACTAACCTTCAGGTCCCCAGTTTCGTTTGCAGCAATAACAAGATACAAGGCCTTTTTCTTCCAATAAAGGAAGAATCGATCCACATTGTGGGCAAAAGCCTGGTGCTGTAGTGAATGACACGGTATTTGTATCCACAGACATATTTCTATTATTTTTCTTTATAATTTAACTACGAAAGTGTATTTCAGTACGTTATAATGTAAAAATCTCTTGCGAAGTAACACGCGCGTCACATAACCTCTTACGACATGTCGTCGCGTTCCTAACCTAACATAGCCACCCTTTACAAGTACTACTACTATTTTCCCCTTCGCTGCAATCTAATTTTTTATCCTTTTCTCTTTCGTTATGTGAAAAGAAGGGGGAAGAGAGGAATAACACTATGAATGAATTAACTCAATATGAATGGTGTATTTGAAATTGGTACCATCTAGCGGTTAAATTTTGATTTAAATAATTTCAAACATAAGTCAGTGTTTCTCAACTGCTGCAACGCAGTACCGCGCCCTAACATCAATTACTGTAAGTTGTGAAAGCTTTTCCTAAAATTTATTTCAATTTTCTAAGTAAGATACAGTCAACCGTATAATATGTATTACGAGTTATGTATCATTTGTTAGGAACAATTATAAAAGAACTCCAGTTTTTAAAAAATTAAAATTTTTTTAGAATAATTACTTTAATTGAAAAAATATTAACGATTAAATTTGTTTGAATCGAACACTTCTTTTATATTAAAAATGAATTTATCAAGCTAAGATATACGATGATTAAGAAGCATTACTTTAAGCAACGAAATACTGAAATTTTATCTACTGTTTTTCCTTTGAAATTTTTATAAAATAGAAAGAAATAGATAATGTAATAGGTAATATGTTAACCATTAATTGGTTATCATGTATAGTAAACCCTCCTATAATACATTATTCTCATAACGTTGTTTCCATATTATGCGCTACGAATTAATTTAATTTGCACTGATTGAGAGTTTATAATGCGAATTAATCACGTTAAAGGAAAATCTGTCGTATTAAACATTTTACAATAAAAAACAAAATACGAATAATATAGGAACACTTTTCTCGAAAAAAACATTAGATTGTATTTGAACTATACAGATCGAGAGCAGACTGTGAATACGCGTACGATGTTTCTTCTGGAAAAGTACAACTAACTTTGTGATCGTTATATATCATATAACATGGTATAATTTAATTTCGTTTTGCTAATCTCTCGAGTAGAATAGAAATATTAAAAATTGTTTCTCTTTTTCTTTTTTTAAAATACAAATTTCTCTATACTATGATAAATAAAATTGAGTAAATCAAATTTTCGTCTAATATAATAATTAATTTCTTAACAAAAGATATCATAGATAAGATTCGCGAATAATCAAGATTTAAATTAACGTGCACGCTAATGCAATTCTCCTGCTACTCCATTATCTACATCTTAATATTTCAGGTCGTTGAGTTCACGCATCTCACACATAATGATAATGCCAAAGTTGAATAATCGCTTGGTCGTTGCTTTCTTCATGGGTCTCACGTTCTTGCAACCGGCGAATGGGTAAGATACATATATACTTGTAAGATCAATATCTGAAACTTGACAAAAGCATAAAACAAGATCCGCGAAAGCGGCATTTTACGTGCCGTTGCGCATCGATAATACTCTAACTAGTAGGATGTTTGATGGTAGGAGGAAAATGACATTGTTCGACTTTACGAGGATGGATAACGTGGACGACTGGCAAGAGATATCGGATACCGTAAGAACAGTCGGGAAATCTAAAGCCACATTGGTCTTGCAAAAAACACAAATCTTTCAAAGAGCCGTCTTTTTTACTCTTCTCAATCCTCAACCCAACGGAGCTGGATTTGCTGGCGTGAGAACTCAAACAAATTTAAATTTGAAGGATTTCCAGAATATTGACATTACTTGTCGTGGACAAGGCAAGAATAATCATTACAAAGTTGTTCTTAGACACAATGGGCTTAATGCTAACAAAGACTTGACTTATGAGCAATTTTTCGACGTAAGTTTAAATCAAATCAATTTATGCACTATATTTAAATTAGAGGAATCGTATAAGTAAATATGTTTATTTATTTCTTAAATTTTTATGCGTATATCATTAATCCAGGCGCCGATGTCGAATGAAGAATTCTCAACTGTCTCCTTAAAGTTAGATAATTTCAAACCTTTCTACCGTGGAAAGGAAATACCCGATGGGGAACCTTTGAATGTGGAAAATATTACGATGTTTGGCCTACAAGTGTTCGGTGGCGTCTATTTACCATTTAAACAAAGCAGCGTGTCAGCTTTGGAGATTGAAACTATTGCAGCATCTTAAGTATTCTTGTTATTACTGCGACATTTGAATTTAAATCATAATCCAATAATAAATAACGCTTACTAAAGGAAATCTATTATTATAAAAATACTTGTATAATATCGAATAAATAGTTATAGATATTAATGTAGATATAATCTTACATAAAATACTGTCATAATCAAGATGAAACATTAGGTACCTTAAAAAATCGTTCCAAATTTATCTCCGATCATCTGAAAAGAAACTTCCTTTCACGATATGATACAAATCGAAGAATATATTATAAACTATATATTTATGTAAGAAAAAAGAGAAGGTACAAAATATTGACATACATATATATATGTATATAATATATAATACTTTTGCTACACCACTTTAATTCGTGTGTACGTGCTTTACCAATCGTTCAGTTTTTTTCTTCTGTCTTCTCGACAAATCGCACAAAATTAAAAGAGTCTCAAAATTTCGTATTAAAACAATAATCGGTTAGTAAATCATAAATAAACGGCAATATACGATAACCGCAAAGCGATATCATCTTAATTATCGCGTTATCGTCCGTTGTGGGATCTCGTCTGGGTTGTCTCTCGATGAATGCGTTTACACCTTTACAAACGGATTCCCGGGTTTCGAGAGGCGACGAAATTCAGGAGCTCGTCGCTGTCCTCGCAAACGAATGGCTTTACGTGATGACAGGCAACGTCGTGCCATTTAATGCCGTCGTTGTAGAAGTTGTTGAGAATGGACAGGCAGGATTCATCGTTACCCTGTGTGATGATAAATGTTTGAGTCAAGATTTGTTCTTTTTTTTTTACCAAAAGATCAATCAATTTTTATTTTCCCTTTCTTTCTTTCTTTCTTCTTCGAACACAAGTCAAAAGTCACGATTATTAAAATTGATTAGTAGGATACAAAATTTACGAACAATTCTTGTGAAATACGAACTACGACACAGATCGTAAAGAAAAAAAAGGAGACGAATAGAAAGAGAAAAGAATTGTTAGAAGTTTCAAATCAAATTGAATCGGATAAGTGAAGATGAGAAAATCGAAGGGAAAAAGACGGACGAAATCGAAGGGAAAGTAAAGAGAGAATGGAAAAGACCGCAGTACCTGAGCAGCCTCGCGGTTGTCTGGCTGTGGCTGACCGTATCCACCAGTATGGCTCCAATCTCCGGAATTACGTTGGCTGGTTGGTCCGATTTTAGCACCGGATCCAGACCAGAACCATCCGTTGACATTTTGCGGTTGAAGATCGGGACGGTCGCAACCGTTAAAATTGCATTTACGTCCAGAAGTCCAGATGTACCTCACGTTCCCTGACGACGGAATCGTGTTAAATAATATTTCTCTTGATTCAGGATTATTCAATTTTCACTTCGAAAATCTAATTCCTTTTACGTATTAGTTTCAAATTGACGTTACGGAAGGTACTGATTTGCAGAAAGAGTTAACAGCAAAATACATATATGCGCGTATAATAATATTAACTGACGAATCAAGTTATAACCTTACGAAAAGAGAGATAAATAAATTTTTTTGTAATTTTCTAATCCCTTTTTTTCTTTTTTTTTATGCAACTGATTTAAATTTATTCCTCCAAAAAACAATCTTTCGTGATTATTATTTATGATTATTATATAATAAATTACCAAAGAGGTAACATACGCGAAACATTTTTCGTTCTCTTAATTTTATTTTTCCATCACTCGAGTGAAAGTGGACTGCATCTTCGATAATAGCATACATGTTACATGACTTACGAAACACGTACTTGAAATTGATCCTTGCAACACGAACGAATAAAATAATTTATTAGGAATTTTGAATGCACGTCGGACGATACGAAAACAAATTTTTGTATTAATTATAATTCGTGCAAAAATTCGTGGGGAGAAAAAAATTACGTTAAAATAAGATTTTAACTGAGAACATTTATCGGATACGGAATTATTTAACGTTCACGTAAGTTTACCTCTGGCTACTCTCTGCTTGATGAATTCATTCTCTTGTGGTGTCTCGAGGGATACCGCGTCCATGCAATGACGACGGCAAATGTTACGAGCATCAAGCCAGTCCACTTCGAGGCTTCTAGTTGGCAAATGTTCCCAACTGAAGAAGTACGAATGAGAAACGCCCCTTCCGTCCCTGTAACTCGCGTGACGAACCCCTGGAAATCGTGACAATAATTAATCCAAATCGACATCGATCTCTTAAATACAGTAATCAATATATTTTCTGATCTATTTATTTAATTTTTTTTATACCCTTTTTTTGTATTCATTTAACATCGATGTCATTATTTCAAATAATTAATAATCATTGATGATCTACTTTTTATTATATATATATTAGGGTGGGTCAAAAAAATGACTTTTTTTTTTTCAAGTGCCACGGAAAAATGGGTTGCTAGACACCTTAAAACAATTCTCACCAAATATGAGCTCTTAATTTTAATAGGAAGATCCTCCGCATCGCAGTTTTTTATTTTTT